TAACAGTGTTCAAGGGGGTCAGCCAGTGGCTTTTGAGCAGAGTCCCCTGGGTGGTCCGAGAGTGGACAAGGAATAACTCTCCAGGCTGACAGTGTATCCGTGCTCATGAAGGCACAACCTGAACGCCTGCTGGATCAGGGAGCAACACGTCCCAGCTCGGCCAGCATCTAGGCCCTGGACTTTATTCCGCAGGAAATGGAGAGTCACAGATGGAATTTAAGCAAGAGAGAGGCATATCCTAATGTGTATTTTAGAAAGACAGTTTGCTTTGGAGAGAGGTGGTGAGGAAAATAAACTCTGAAGAGGGGAGACACTTGAAGCACATGAGTTTCGTCCTATCACATTTAAATTACTTTCTGTTCTGATTAACAATTCACTGAAAAAGCCAATACTAATAGCCAACTCTCCATGTAGCACTGACGGTGTCCAACTCATTTTATCTTCATAACAGTCCTCTGTAAGATGGGGACTAATAATTCCTATTGACTGAGTTACTGTGAAGACACATGGCTTAAGGAAAGCCTCTGTATGAACAGCACACAGCACAATGTCTGGCACAAGGGAAGCTCTCACAGGGGCCCTTGCTGCCTGCATCAGCTCCAACACATTCCTGCATGAAGGTTTTGCATCAGTCTATTGTTTTATTCTATTTTTTGGCATCAGCCTATTATTTCAAGGCACCCACTCAAGGACTGCTTCTTCACCACCAGGGATTTTTTTCTGGGGGGAAGGAGGGTGGGTCTTGGGGGTGATTCTGATTCTTTCAGGATCATTTAAATGTGCAAGCCTGAGGTTTCTGAAAGGCTGGTCTCCAGGTAGCTAAGGTGATTTTTTTGTTTTTTTTGGTGGGGTTTTTTTTCTTTTTAGTTTTTATCCAAGGGACCCTGTTCTTTCAAATGCCTGCCATACTTTTGTAAGCAAAGTTTCATCTATTTTTATTAACTTGTCAGCAAAAATAGCATGCACATGATCAAACCATGAAAATGTAGAATTTTTTAGACAGAGTTTGAAACAGAGATCAAGTAAAAAAAAAATCATAGCAAGTTAATGTGATGTTTAACGAGAGAAATGATTACTGCATTGTTCTCTATTAATTAGACATAAATGTTGTCCCATTTCCATCAATGACAATCATGTGTGGGTGGGGCAGAGACTTCTCTGAAGACTGGCCAGAGGTTCCTATTTGATGTCTAGAGGGATGAGGTTAAGATAAAGAAGAAATCTCTGTGGGTTTCAGATATGCTTTCTTGCTTTAGGAAAAGTCAGGGCTCCAGCTCTCCCTTCAAAGCCTAGCTATCAAAATGCAGCCCTTAGCCTGAAGCCAACATTTGAGATCCTTCACTCCCTGTCAAGAAAGGACGTGTCACACACTTCTGAGGGACTGGAGAGGAATTCCCATGTTCTCCAACCCTGAGCCCAAGGACTTCTGCATTCTTACAGCCTGGCTTCTCTTGCAACTCTTGGATCGAAAACATCAATTGAGCTCCAGCAACAGGGTAAACGCAGGCTGGCCAGGGAGCACTCCATGGGCACTGGAAGAGCATTCCAGCTTGCTCTGGGAGCGCCTGGGGCCTTTCTGCGGCTTGGTGTTGGGAGCACGCCCTTCTCCCCCAGCTACTCTTGTGTGGGTTTAGCTCATATTCTCGTTTAGTGCTTGTCACTTTTCATTAACTTTCGTTGCAGACCTGGGTTTGCTTTCACCTCTCTGTGGCTGGCAGAGGCTCTGTGGAGCTATTTCAGATGCAGACACTCCTGTTGGAGAGTGACAGCCCTCCCAGTCACAGGTCAGAGAGGCAGAGATAGCAATTTGAATTCTGGGCTTCCAATCAAATATTCAAAAAAGGCACTCTACCCTTTGAAAGTTACAGAGTAAATAGAGCTTAGCCTGGGAAGCAAATGTACTTCTGATTATTTAAACTGAAGTTCTAGTGAGGACAGGACAGTCAGTTGTTCCAACAATGTCTATGAGCAAATTTTGGGTAAATACACAGAGAACAAACAGGAAGTAATATCAAAGTTGTTCTTATTAACATCAAATTCCTGTTCATCTACTCACATCCTGGGGAATATCTGTCTCGGTCTTCTTGCAACTATCATCTTCAAACTGTGTTGTCTGACACCATTAGTTTTCATCAGTTAGTAAGAATTCATACCCATATGTCCTTATTAGTATTTGTTTTTCTTTCATATCATCAGCTTAGAGGCACTTAAGACAATACTAAGAAAACAAGCTCTCCCAGTGGAAACAGACCACATTTCCTCTTCCTTCCAAGTCATCTCACCACTCTATATTTACATTTCTGGCTCTTTGTGAACTCTGCTTTAATCAAAGGGTCCTTTAAAACTTTGCTACTCAAAATATGACCCATGGACCAGCAGCATCAGCATCACATGGGAACTTGTTATAAAAATAGACTATTCAGGACTTTCCCCCGACCTACCAACATAGAATCTAAGATCCCCTGGAGAGTCACACTACAGCAAAGGGACACTGCCTCAAAAGATAATGTGAACACATGCACCCCAGTGAGCACTGCAGTGCTACTTACAATAGCCAGAACATGCAAGCAACCTAGATGTCCATCAATAGATGAATAGATGGGTTGTGGTACATATATACAATGGAATATTACTCAGTCATCAAAAGGAACAAATGTGAATCAGTTGAACTGAAGTGGCTGAACCTAGAGCCTATTATACAGAGTGAAACAAATCAGAAAGAGAAAAACAAATATCATATATTGATGCATATATATACATGGAGTCTAGAGAAATGGTACCAATTAACCTTTTTGCAGGGCAGGAATAGAGCCACAGATGTAGAGAATGGACTTGTGGACACAACAGGAGGAGAGGAGGGAACGAGCTGAGAAAGCAGCAGTGACACATACGCTACCATGTGTGAAACAGCTAGCTAGTAGGATACTGCCATATAACAGAGGGAGGCCAGCCTGGTGCTGGGTGATGACCTAGAGGAGTGGGATGGGAGGTGGGGGGAGAGGGGCTCAACAGGGAGGGGATATATGTATACAGATGGCTGAGTCACGTTGTTGTACTAACGCAACATTTTAAAGCAAACATCCTCCAACTTAAAAATAGAAAAAAAAAATTTTAAATTGCAGCCAAAATACATAAGGAAAAATTATTATAAAGATGTATCTGTCAATTAAAGTATTTTAATTTTTCTGCCATATACGATAATGTGAATCTCACAAATCTATAATCTGCTAAAAAATTCAAGTATTTCTGCATAAAAAATTCAAATACAACAGGTCATATGTGGGCATAAGTGAACATAATACTAGGAAAAGCCAGCCTGCTTTACTCAGTGCCGGAACTGATAATGAGAACCATATGTGTATTAGCTCATGACTCTTCACTACAACGCAGGAGGTAGGTACCGTCCTCGTGTTGTAGGTGATGTAGGGGCACAGAGAGCTCATGGAACTTGTGCAAGTTTACACAGTCATTGATGGAAGAAGTAGGATTTGAATCCAAGCAGTCTGACTTCAGAGGGCACGTTTTTAACCACTACACTATAACATCTCCCAGCAGTGTGCACTTGTATTTAGGAAATTAAACAGTTGATTCAGGATTCGAAAGAAAAGCTAGGTTGCTATAAAGTGCATCATTTCAGGCTCAGTTAACATTTAGAAGAAGGGACTAGCTGAGTCGGAAATCACAAACTCTAATGGGACTTCCTTCAGTATTATCTGAAGACAGTAAGGGTAGAAGGGATGCATGAAACCCAGTGGTTTTTTCCAAAGGAGTCGAAATTGGGGCCAGATGGGTCTCAGCCTCCAGTGTGCTCCCCACCATATTCCTTGCCTCTTTTGATCCCCATCTCAAAGCTTTGTGGGTTTCTTGTCTGTCCAAAGGCAACTTCACATGCACCAAATATCAGATAACAGTTTTTTCCTTTCTTTACTCACAATCTCAGACTATCCATGTTGTTGCTGTTTAGTTGCTGAGTCCTTTCCGACTCTTTGCGACCCCATGGACTATAGGCCACCAGCCTCCTCTGTTCATGGGATTTCCCAGGCAAGAATACTGGAGTGGGTTGCCATTACCTTCTCCCAGGGATTTTCCCAACCTAGGTATTGAACCTGCGTCTCCTGCATTACAGGCAAATTCTTTGCCACTGAGCCATCTGAGAAGCCCCAGAATATTCATATGCTTTGATAAATTATTTTGTATTGTATTTAAAACCTTATTAAGAAAAAGACTGGAGGGGAAAGGAGGTGCTTATAAATCATACTTAAGTAGCTCTAATACTAAACAATGCAGCAATTTACATTGAAAGTACAACAAGAACTTTTAGATGTGATAGCCAAAGAGCTCTTCCTTTGATGAAACTTAGTCCTGCTTGTGATTGAGTGTTAATTAAGACAGAATCATAGCCTGGGCTCCAAAAGTCATTTACCTGCTATAGTCAGACCTCCACTCTTACATTTATAGATGAAAGGAGGGTGGACGTTCAGGCCCCAATGGATATGACTGTGGAACTGGTGCCATCTCCTTTGGGGCGCCTGTTTTTAAGCAAATGGTGCTTTCTGTCAAAGGGTAGCATCCCACAAGGATTCTCTCCAGCCCAGAATGCAGGGCGGGGAGTTCTTGGAACAGACTTCAGAAGTCCAAGAAGGCTGAAAACTTCCTGCTGAAAGTACAACTCCGGCTATAAAGGCACTAGACCGCTTTCATTTGGAAGCCTGCCGCAGTTGGTGGGAGGCAAGATAAAATATGCCATGCCCTTAAAATGCCACCCTGATGACGCCAACCGCCTCTTGACTGATCCAGCAGTGCCCTTTTCATAACCTCCTCTTCAGAGGTAAGGAAGAAGCTCCGGATCCAACAAGGAAAGATCGCTGAGTTTCTTTACAACGCACATGATGTAAATGTAAATCACTTAATTGAAATGCCAGAGTGAGACTTGGCAACTCCCAAAGATCAAAAACTCAGAGCAGAACAAACCGCCCCGTTTAATCCACTTCTCCCAGAGCTCATGGTTCAGAGTGGGGGTGGGGGGGTGGACCACAGGTGATGGGGAGGAAGCATACCACAGCCTGGCAAACAGCGCAGTTGGCAGGAACAGACCAAACACCCCGAGACCTACAGCAGATACCCCAGTCCGGGGCACTTACCTTGCACTGCCCGGACACACAGATGGCCGTGCCATTCTGGTCGCAGGGGGTGCCATCAATGACCTTCTCAGCTTGCCGCACATAGAAGCGGTAGCCCATCGCCTGGCAGTTCAGCTCACACTTCCGGTTGCCCTTGACTACCAAAAACAACAACAAAAGCCAATCAGCATCTTTTATCTTTCTGTATTTTTTATCAAGATAAAATTCACATAACATAAAATTAACCATTTTAACCAAAGCATGTATCTCAATGGTTTTTAGGATACTCACAATGTTTACAACCATTTTCACAAACTAACCTTAGAACATTTCTATCACCCCAGAAAGGAAACACTGGACCTAGTAGCTGTGACCCCAACCTCTCTCCTCCTCCCAAGACCTTGGCGGCCACCAAATCTATGTTCTGTCTCTATGGATGTGCCTACCCTCGGTATCTCACAGTCACACACATTTAAAATGCATTAAAGCTATTAGATCTCTCCGTATTTGATGGTAGAGAGAAGAGGTTGCATCTTGATCTGCACACGTAGGAGAGATTTGATGCTGAGTGAATATCATAAAGGAATTCTTAAAGAATCTCAGAATACAAATAGGACTTCACTTTTAGGCATCCTCCCATCTTTAACAGTCTCAATTATACCGTATAAATCAGTAATCACAGTGAGCACGCAATGTTTGTGTTCTGCTTTTTATTACTTAAAATCTATGCAGTTATACCATTTTATGTTCTTTTAAATGGCCCAAGTTTCCTGTAATAATTCCTCCATTATGAGACGTTTAAGTGGTGTGCCTATCACCTTAGATTGAAGTCTAAAGTCCTTTCAAGAGCTGAACCTCACCTACCTTTATAATCTCATTTCCTACTGTTCTATTTCCAATGAAGCACTTCCTCTGTGCAGTCATTGATCACTGCTCCTCTGGCTTTGCCTACTTGACAAGCACCTGCTTCTACTTTGCTTTAGGTCCCAGGTCACCCTCTCCAGGAAGCCCTCCATGGATCCTGATCTGCGCTCTAAGTCCATGTATCACAGGCTGATCCGGTCTCCTCTACTATACGGTCCAACAGACATCATTTAAGGCATGGCTTTGAGGGACCACAGAGATGTGTCTGTCTTTTTTAACTAGTTTATTTGTGGCTGCACAGTGTCTCTGTTGCTGTGTGCGGGCTTTCTCTCGCTGCAGTAAGCAGGGGTTACTCTTGCCTACGGTGCCTGGGCTTCTCATCCCGGTGGCTCCTCTTGTTGCAAAGCATGGGCTGTATCGCGTGCGGGCTTCGGTAGTTACAGCACATGGGCTCAGGAGTTGTGGCTCTTAGGCTCTAGAGGGCAGGCCCAGTAGTTGTGGTGCACGGGCTTAGCTGCTGCATATGGGATCTTCCCAGAGCAGGGATCGAACCCACGTCCTCTGTATTGGCAGGTGAATCCTGAACCACTGGGCCACCGGGGAGTCTGAGATGTGTCTGTCTTACTCACTTTTGTATCTCCAGCGCTCAGCAGAGAGTTTGGGCACAGGGCGAATGCTCAACAAATAACTGGGGAATAAAGGGAAGGACGTGTGCTCAGTTGTTCAGTCACGTCCAACCCTTTCGACCCCATGGACCGCAGCTCACCAGACTCCTCTGTCCATGGGATTTTCCAGGAAAGAATACTGGAGTGGGTTGCCATTTCCTTCTCCAGGGGATTTTCCCAGCCGAGGGATCGAACCTGGGTCTCCTGAATTGCAGGCAGTCTCCTGCATTGTAGGTGGATTCTTTACCGACTGAGCCACCAGCAAAGCCCCAAAGGGAGGGACAGAGAAAATAAATATTGGCCTTTGGAGGTGTTTTAATTTTTGTTTTTCTCTCCTCTCTCTCTACTAGATAGAAACCCCTACCTCAGAGTCTTTCTTTATATTTCTGTTACCTCACACAGAGCCTGCTGCTCAATAAATACTAAATCAATTACTGCTATGACTAATATTTTCAGAGCAATCTAGTTGCCTCCAAAATAAGAATGAGAAAAATGTTCAGGCAAGATAAATTTCCATATCCAAGGGAGAGAGACATGCCAAGTACACACTGACTTTGTTTAACTGTTTTTGGAGACGAGACTAATGCGATGCTCAGCCATAGACAGCATGTTCCAGGGTCATGCCTTTGTCTGAAAATCTGATTACTGCACTGGATAATACTGACTTTTTCCTACACAACACAATATATCATATTTTCCCCAGTGTGGCTGCCTGACTGTCATAGCAATGAACTTCCTTCTACTCCAAAGCCATTGAAAACCGCTAACAGGAAATCTCAGGCAACCTGTGGGACCACATGGATTAGGGAAGACTGCATCTTCTGTGCGTTCTGAGCTCTATCGGAGAAGTCAAGAGACTTGATTTCCTACCCGAGCTGCCCAAAAGCTATGAAGTGATCTTGGAAAAGTCAAAGATTACCAAAGACGGAAGCACTATGGGAATTATTTGAAACCAAACTGTCATTTTATAGATGAAACACACACACACACACACACACACACACACACACACACACACACCAGGCCCAGGAAAGGAAGTGACAAGTTGGAGGGAAAACTAGTTTCCTACAACCTGCATTCTTATGTCATATATCTATCCAGACCCCATCCCCCTCTCCCAGCTCCTTACTTACTGAAGCTATAGCAGGAACTATCCAAGTGCATTGCATTTTGATGTAATAAAAGTGTTTATAAAGCAGCCTCACAGAGGGTAAGGGTTTTGAGTTCTGATTTCTCTGAGCTTCCTCCCAATTACTTCTATCCTTAGGAATAGTATCATTGGCAGCCACAAGTTTATTCCTCAATATTGCAACCATACTACAGAAGAACTTTCTGAGAACAACAGCAACAAAAAAATGATGGTTAATCAGGAGACAATGACAGCAAATGGGCTACATAACCAGAGGAATAACCTTAAGGAATGACCAGAGGAATGACCTTAAGTCTGGGTTTCTTCTGCCTGTGGCCCAAACCAGCTAGGTCTACCCCTATGCCTATATGGCTTACGCAATGTCCCTGCCTCTCAGACTTGCAGCAAGGAAAAAGGAGATCCTAGGAGACAGTTGAAACCTGGAGACAAGTGACTACTTAACAAAACTGCCCAGAATCCTGCTGCCTCAGCAATACTCCACGTTAAGAGTTTCTCATAAAATTACATAAGCCCTGGACTTCCCTGGTGTCCAGTGGTTAAGAATCCACCTGTCAATGCAGGGGACACGGGTTCAGTCCCTGGTCCAGAAAGATCTCACATGTCACGGGGCAACTAAGCTCTTTCACCACAACTACTGAGCTGTCACTCTAGGGCCCAGAAGCCACAACTACTTAAGCTCACGTGTCCTAGAGCCTGTGTTCCACAATAAGAGAGGTCACCACAATGAGAAGCCTGAACACCACAGCTAGAAAGTAGCCCCCACTCATTGCAACCAGAGAAAGCCCACATACAGTAATGAAGACCCAGCACAGCCAAACATAAATCCATATTTTTAAAAATTACATAACCACTGACTTCTCCAGACCCTGCCCATACTCCCCAACCACTTTAAAATGCCACATAAAAATACATTTGCAGGGCTTCAGCTTGCATATCTACGTGCAAAAAAAGAGAAGTGGACCCCTGTCGTACACCATATATAAAAATTAACTCAAAATGGATCATCAACCTTAATGTAGGAGCTAAAACTACAAAATAAAATCTTAGAAGGAAACATAGGCATAAATCTTCATGATCGTGGATTATGAAGATCTTTCGCTTATTACAAATCTAAGCACATGAAAAGATGCTCAATATAATTAGTCATGAGGGAAATACAAATTAAACCACAACGAGATACCACTTCACACATAGGAGGATGGCTGAAAAAAGAAAAAGATGATAAGAAACATTGGCAAGCATGTAGAGAAATTAGAACCCTCTTACAATGCTGAGAGGACTATAAAATGGAACAGTTTTCTTGGAATACATTTGGCAGTTCATCAGAATGTTGATTTACCGTATGACCCAGCAATTTCACTGCTAAGTGTATAACAATGAGCAATGAAAACACACATCTTCACGAAAACTTGTACATGAAAATTCATAGAAATAGTATTCATAATAGCTAGTAAGTGGAAACAATCCAAATACCCTTCCAGTGATAAATGGATAAAGAAAATGTGGTATATCCATACAGGAAATATTTGACAATAGATGGGGATGAAGTGGCACACACTGGTACATGCTACAACATGTAAACCATGAAAACATTATGCTCAGTGAAAAAAGTCATATCACAAAAAGCATATGTTGTATAATCACATTTTAATCTAATATTCAGCATAGGCAAACGTACAGAGGTAGAAAGTAGATTAGTGGCTTCCAGGGACTGGAGGGAGGACAGAATGTGGAGCAACTATTATTAATGGATATGGACTTTCTTCTTGGGCAATGAAACTGTCCTGAAATTATATTGAGGTGATGATAGCACGACTCCAAACATACTGAACACCAGTAACTTGTACTATTTAAACTGGTGACTTTTAAGGTAGGTGAGTTTTCTCTCAATAGAGCTGTTATTATTATTATTTTTTTTTTTAAAGAAAAGTGGCAGCAGTTAGCTTCCTAGATCCCCAAGTGAAAGTCACTCAGTCGTGTCCAACTCTTTGTGACCTCATGGTCTATACAGTCCACGGTATTCTCCAGGCCAGAATATTGGAGTGGGTAGCCTTTCCCTTCTCCAGGGCAATGAAACTGTCCTGAAATTATATTGAGGTGATGATAGCACGACTCCAAACATACTGAACACCAGTAACTTGTACTATTTAAACTGGTGACTTTTAAGGTAGGTGAGTTTTCTCTCAATAGAGCTGTTATTATTATTATTATTTTTTTTTAAAGAAAAGTGGCAGCAGTTAGCTTCCTAGATCCCCAAGTGAAAGTCCCTCAGTCGTGTCCAACTCTTTGTGACCTCATGGTCTATACAGTCCACGGTATTCTCCAGGCCAGAATATTGGAGTGGGTAGCCTTTCCCTTCTCCAAGAACTCTTCCCAATCCAGGCATTGAACCCAGGTCTCCCACATTGCAGACGGATTCTTTACCAACTCCCCAAGAAATCATCAAATAAATAACCGAAAAATTTCTTGATGGAAGAAG